ACACACACACACACACACATGCATTTCCTGTCATTTTAAGTAAGTTCCTGCCTCTGATTTTTGGGGTCTAGGATCAGTTTGAGGTTATAAAAGGAGTCTACAGAGGTCTGAGAAACAGTAAGGGTATAGTTTTTACTATTAATAAAAATGCACTTCAGGTGAGTTCTTCATTATGTTTAACCATCTGTTAAGGCACGTGCAGAAGCCAGAAGGGGGGACTTTAAAAAAAAAAAGTGCCCCTCTCAGACAAATAGCAATGATATTGTGGTCAATAAAACAAAATACATTTGAATTATAATTAACCTGACAATGTGTACAAAACGGTAACTAATTGCTCAAAAGTCGGAAAATTCCTGTTTATTTTTACATATGCCCTCTATGTCAATCTGAGGCATTGCTATGGGTTGCGTGCGTTTTTCTTGACTGACTGATATTCCAAACAATATTTTAAACTTTTTTCCCCCCATCAATAGCCTAATCAAAGCTAGTGTGTCGATTTAATTAAAAATCCATGTATTATATATTTTAGAATATTACATAATTTATCAATGCCCGTTTGTCATGTATAATACACCAACCAATCATGATCTGGCAGAAGTTCAAATTTCATTGGACAATAATGTGAAGTGGAGTGGTTATTTTGCGTTCCTATTTATAAATCGGTTGAAAATTACACGGGGCAGATGAGCTTATTTTTGGAGCGATCTGGATCTGCGGTTTGTCTCATTTTATAAATCAAATTACATCGCTGAGAAAATGGATGCTAAATGACTACAAAAGCACTGCACAAAACCGTGCAGTTCCAAAAGTCGCAATAATGGTAATCAGTCAATTCACTTATATTTATGTATGATACAGCGGTTGCTATTTCATGAAACTATCATAGTTAATGAAGCCCAAGTGCCATCTACAGGCCTATTATGTGTAGTGTAGGCTGGCGAAATGGTGACGTGAAAGAACTTTATTATATTACCATTTTTTGATAATCATGCAGCGTTATGGAAAGTGTCTTATGCTCATCAAGCCTGCATTTATTTGATAAAAAATACAGAAAAAAATGTAATATTGCGAAATATTATTACAATTTAAAAGAATGCTTTTCTATTTTAATATACTATAAAATATAATTTATTTCTGTGATGCAACGCTGAATTTTCAGCATACTCCAGTCTTCAGTGCATGATCCTTCAGAAATCATTTTAATATGCTGATTTATAATCAATGTTGGAAACAGTTGTGCTGCTTATTTTTATTATTATTTATTATTATTATTATTTTGGAACTTGTGATACTTTTCTGGGGTTCATTGATAAATAAAAAGTTTAAAAGAACAGCATTTGTTCAAAATAGAGATGTTTTCTAACAATATCAATCTTTACTATCACTGTTTCTACCAATTTAACAAATCCTTGTAGAATAAAACCTAATTTCTTAAAAAAAAAACTGACCTCAAGCTTTTGAATGGTAGTGTATATTACAAAAGTTATATTTTAAATAAATGCTGTTCTTTTTTTAACTTTTTATTCAACAAAGAATCCTGAAAAAAGTATCACAGGTTTCCAACATTGATAATAAATCAGCATTGCATAAAATGTATTTTAAAGTGTATTACAATTTTGATCAAATAAATGCAGGCTTGATGACCATAAGTGACTTCTTGCAAAAATATAAAATAGTAATGTATCCAAATATTTGAACTATAATTTTTTCATTGCCCCTATTTTACATTTGAGCCCCTGCCCCTGAGGAACTCTCTGCATGTCCCTGATCGGTTACACTGTCTATTAAATAAATAGAGTTAGAGAAGCAACAAAATCTGTCAAATAAAGAGTGAGTGTTTAGGCACTTGTAGTCCTTTCCTTCTCATTTGTCTTGCATACTGATTTTTACTACTTTAACTATGATTTTGCTACACTCTTTTGTAATGGGACAGAAAGACTGAAACATTTTAAGAGACTGTGTAATGAAAATAAATGAGTAAAAAATATTCTTGAGGCTTTAAAAGAAAACAAGACAATACTTTACCAGTGGTTGTGATTGGTGAAGTAATGGACACTATCGGTGGAATTCTCTCTGTTGTTGTAGACACTAATTGGAGGGACTGGCTTGAGGCTTCTGGTATTAAGAACATCTTATATCAGTATCAAACATTTTTAAACATAACATAGAAAAGTAAATTTAATTACATATGAGTAAATACTCACCTACACAGTAAGCTCCACAAAACATTGGCTTGACAAACTCGTAAACATAGTAATTTCCGGGACAGGCTTTGACTCTTATAGGGTGGGATGTGTAAGTACAGCAGTCACCCCATGGGAGACAGACCTGACAGATGACCACTCCATCTTCCAGCTGTGGATGAGGGCCACTGAGTGACAATGGGGAGTCAGTGCCACACATGCCTTGATTGACACATAATTCTGGCATCTGAGTATTTTGACCATTGTAGAACAGCCTGTACCAGCCATTCCACTCCACATTATAATCACACATGCCAATGTTAGAGTAATCAGTGGCTCTCCGAGGCTCATCCAGACTGGTGTAGCTGTAGCGGGGGTCAACACTTGGAGTGGTTAACAATACTGTTATTAAAATGTAGAAAGAAAGCATTACATACTGCATATTAAATCTATTCAAGATAATAATATGAATACAAACCAATAAAATTTGTCATAAACATGTCAAATAAAAAGATAAATGAACATACCTGCACAATATACAGGAGCTGGGATTGAAAGAGTTGGTCTGGTAAATTTGTAGACATAATAATTTCCAGGACAAGCTTTAACTTGGATTGGTTCAGATCTGTAGCGACTGCACTGATCATGGCCAGAGCCGTAAATTTGACGAGTAACAACTCCATCTTCTACACGAGGATGAGAGCCACCAAGCCACAGACCACTAAAACCTCCACATGACATAAATGATGCACACCACTCAGGCATCTGAGCACTTGATCCATCAATGAAGAGCCGATACCAGCCATCCTATTCTACACGAGTGTCATCAAGTCCATCTGCATAGCCATTCCAATACCCGTAATTGAGTGTGCTTCTCCAGTGGTTGTCTAGTATGTTGTAGTTATTGCACGAGTCATAATCTGTGTTAGTGAGAGACCAAAACAGAGCAGTTATATTTCAATGAGCAAATTCATGAGTGCAAATCTGAACTAATCAAACACATTAACAAACATGAAATTTAAATGTCATTGCCAATATACTGTACATACATACATACATCAGTGGCGGAAAGAGTACTGAAAAACTTTACTTAAGAAAAAGCTACTTAAGGAATAATTTACTTGAGTACAAGTAAAAGTACTGAAAAATAATATAACTCAAGTAAGAGTAAATAAGTATTTTGCTGAAAAACTACTCAAGTTACTGCGTTACAAAGTACTTTTCTATTTTTACCCAAAATGAGGCGATGTGAGCATTATGGAGCATTAAACACTCTCTTGTAATGTCTGTTTCACAAGTGAGACTCATAGATGTATTAAACTTATGACTTTCCTGGAAATCCCTTGGACAAATGCATCAGATATCACTACAGCTGAATAACATGCAGACGTTTTTACTGATGAAATATTAAGAAACACACTATTGTAATGATATATCTGTGTTTATCTTTGTTCTTTAAACCATTTCGGGTATTTTCATAAGAATGATGTATATGTATAATGCATTGCTAACCAACATAACCTGTATCACAGTATAGAATTTTATAATAATAATAATAATAATAATAATATTTTTTCTGTCTCATTCTGTGATAAGAAGCAACACGGAACCACAGACACAAGTTATCTCAAACATGACTGATGTTATATAGTAATTTTGGAGCAAAACATGATATTAACTTCATAAATGTCATGTAATTGACAAATTAAATTGCCAGTAAAAAATAATTGTGGGTATGTGTAAAAGACAAACATTTCAGGTGAAGGATAACCCACTTCTTAACGTTACCTCCAAGACTGTGTTATGATCTATATGACCTTATTATTTTTATTGTGAGTATTAGGCTTATCATTATTGCTGATCACTGTTGTTGCGCTATGATATTGTAATATTTACCATTATATAATCAGAGGGGTATAGAAAAGTTTATGAAAGTGTCACTCCATAATACAATAGCAAAATATATAAATATGTATAGTATTTTTATGTTACATTAATCAGTATTTAGCACACCTTCCTAAGGAAAGGATATGGACCAGAAGACATTGCAATTACTAAATGATATTTAGACAGACCCTCATTATTCTTCCCTTTATCTGGCCCTCTTGGATGCTATCTTGTGTCAGTCCGTAATATGTTGTGCAGCAGCTTAGATCGTCTCTGTCCATGCTGTGTTTGTCTGAATCAGTTTTTTTATTTTTTCTAGTCTAGTCGGTCTGGCATTCCTGTTTTTGTCACCCTCCCCTTTCTACCCTCCTGCCTCCCTAGAACTCTGGTCGGCTCTCTCCCTTGGCTCTCGTGACTCATAGGCCTGTCTCTCCACGGCAGTTCTGTCCTGTTCCGTCCTATTCCTCTCTGCCCACGCTCGATACCTCCCCTGGAATTCATCGGCGGCATTCTATTGCCGGCTCACCGCCCCTCTTAACCGTAGCAAAACAGTGCACACCGGGTTGAGCTTGAACTTGCCCCAGGTCTCATCGCTTCTGCTCGTCAGAGAACGTGTTAACAGCCGTATTAAATAATGGCGATATCTACGGATGTTTAAGGTAATTAGTTAAACTAGCTAGCTGTTTTCATTGTTGACGTTTTATTCCATTTTATATCTAAATGGTAGGG